TTTCTGTCAGAACATCATGAGGCGTCCCAGATGTAGCGTCAGTTGTTGTCTACTATGACACACTACTCAAGATGAAATTATGGATTATCGAGTACGACACTCGTTGTCAATCACAATCCGAGCTGACACTGTATGACGCTGCATCAGGCTATAATTGGGCAGATATCATGCAGTGTGAACCCAGCATAAGAGATGACTTAGAGACTTAGACACACAGAGATATTCCACTTCCTGAGCACACAGAGATAAGATGAAAAAGGAGATGAACATAATATTCACTGCCAAACATACCATGAACTGGCACAGTGAAACCCACTTGTGCGTCCTTGCTGTGAAGGTGGTCTTCACAAGCAACCCAAAAAAGAATGGTTCCCACAACAAACAAAAACAAGAATATGTGTGTTTTAAGAGAAAAAAAACATTTAGTTAATTTGTGTGATACAAAGATTTTGCCTTCAAAGCCAGTGCTGTGCATATATTTCCTACAACTTGATATTAAAATTATCTTCAAGTTTCCTAAAAGAATTTAGACCACCTGTGAGAGCTAGGCTAGGACAATACATAAAGGATGTGCATATAACACGCAACATCTCAAGATGTAGATATTAGATGTCATATTAGGATCTAGTGGCTGTGAAGACTACAACCTATGATTCATGTACTTTTTATACTCACTTAACCATTTTGTGACCACACACACACACAAACATACACACACACACACACACACACACACACACACACACAGAGTTTGTTTATTTCAGCGGTATGAAGTCTGATACATTTACAGATTACAGAACTTTTATTCCATCTTGCAATACAAAATGTATATTAAATGCAGATGCAGATGTACATTTCGAAAATCTGAAAATTTGACAATTTACCAACGTATGCATTAGCATACGTAGCATTATGAAAAAAAATTACAGGTATTCAGAAAAAAAAAACTTGGTATATGTATATGCTTAGTAAAATGGATGAGCAAACAAAAACATTTGTTAAACTTAATATACATTTAAAAAGAGGTACACTCAAATTTTACTATATCTAATTATGTATTTGATGGAGTTACTGAACAGTATAAATGTGTATATTAAATTCAAAAGGCATATATTACTATAACACCACCGCACTGGTGTCACAGGTTAATACAGAGTATATGTGTTAGATGTTATAAAACACTGCTACACAAAACTATTTTATGTCAATATGATATGCATGTTTATGAGTGTATGTATGTTTTTTTTCTCATAAACCTCTAACTTGGTTGCTCTGACATGAAATACAACTGATGTTGTCCTTTGTTGGTACTGTTCTATACATCTGAGAATTGCTTGTTATTTGTACTGTGGGAAGAGAAGAGAAGGATTATGGTGGTGTTTGAGACCAATGCTGCTTGAGAAGTACTTTGATTTAGGAAAGAGGACGGGGGAGTGGTTAAAAAACAAACAAACAAAAAAACAGTGTTGCTGTGGGTGAATGCCTATTCAATTATATATATATGTGTGTGTGTGTGTGTGTGTGTGTGTGTGTGTGTGTTTAGTTTAACCTATATAGTAATTCAATCAATCAATCAATCAATCAATCAATTTTATTTATAAAGCCCAATATCACAAATCACAGGGCTTTACAGCATACGACATCCCTCTGTCCTTATGACCCTCGCAGCGGATAAGGAAAAACTCCCCAAAAAAAAACCCCTTTAACGGGGAAAAAAAACGGTAGAAACTAAGGAGTAAATGTATAATTTGATACTATTTCTGTAGAGAGGACATTATTTCACTGACTCCTGTATGTTGTTTATTGCAGACCACTGGTAACACTGCTCATTCCACTATCAGTAAAAATACGTTAACTGCATCAGATACCTGGAAATTAGTTATTTCCTTTACAACATAGGGGCTTTAAAAATCCATCATACTTTCTAACCTGAGTTATATCTAAAGGGTTACTCAGCCAGCCAAAGTAATATCCAGGAAGTAACCTTTGCTCCGTCATAAATAATTGAATACTGTGATGGCAGAGTAAGTGCACACCCTCAAGGGTCAGTATTGAGCAATAATGGGCCATTGTTTTCTTTGGTCCAGACCAGTGGAACTGAACTACAGGTGTGAACACATAGTAAGGATGTGTTAACGTCCGTAACAAATTGAAAAATTTCTGAATTGTGTTTTTAAACTTGAGCACTACTTGTAATCTTCATTCGTCCATACTGAAAAGATAAGAATTAAAAACACACTTGCTGATGTGATGTAAAAAATTAAGAAAATCTTGTTGATTGTTTTAGTCACTCTGGTCCAGTAGCCGGGCCTCCCTTCTCCCTTCCTGCTGTTGAGGAGTAGAGTCAGAGTTTTCTGCACCGCCTTCAGCTCATCTGAGACTTGCTCTATAGTGTGGGACTTCTCCGTCAACTGGCTGCTGCTACCCTGTAGAAGTGATTTAATGCACTGATAGTTAACAAGATTTAATACCATGGTCTGGGTGAATCCCTGATTCTAAATGGCTGCAGGGTGTCTATTAAAACCAGATAATAGACACTTACCAAGTAGATTGGGTGACACTGCCAGCATTTTGCTGCTATGGACAACTGTATGACAACACAACTCCAATCTTTTTTTCTGTCCCCTTGGAACGTTACCACACAGAGTAAAAAGGAAAAAATGCTGGTGTGAAACAGCAGAGGCACTTTAGCAACCCGGTGAGTACTGTCATTAGTATCAGGCTAGCAAAAAATGCTACTTCTTCATAATGGAGATGAACGTAAGGTAAGAAAATTAAAATATAGTGGCTTTTACTTACCACAACTGCAGAGGGCACCGGCTTCATTTGAAACAGACAGACAGGCTGTTATTTATTATTCCCTCTGTATTTTTGGTTTTTTACTTTTTATCCGCTCCTGTTTGCCTTGGTAAATTTAATGCAAAACTCATCTTATCTGTTTAAAATTAAAAGCCCATTATAATTTTGGTTGAGAGAATCCCTTCATTTTCTAAACAGGCTTTTATTGTGAAACATTTGCAGCAACTTGTTGTGGAGGATTCAGTGACCTACATAGTTTGCATGCTTCAAATGTAGCTCCTGCCACCTGGTGGTGCTTTTTACGTTACTGCAATAACATTTCAGCTGAGACATGAATAGATGAAGTGACTGAAATCATAATAATAGTAATAAAAATAGGACAAGAATAACCTGATGACATCACACACATCATGAAAGACAAACAGGAATGATTGGTAGTGGACCAGCGTGTGGTCTGTCATGTCTGTCGGCCAATTCACAGCACAATCTTATGACTCCACAATCGCCTAATCTGACATAGTGACTGTCAGAACAGACAAAAATGTTGTCAAGTGTGAACCCAGCATAAGGTGCTGGCTACATAATAGTATTGCCCTGTATCTAATATGGGTAACCATAGAAACTAGGATGTAATCATAACCTCCTTCTTTATTCCCAACACTAAGTGCAGCCCGTCAGTGCCTCATCCTCTGAACAACAGAGGACACTATAACACACTAGCTGCAAAAAGTACTCTTGCCCTCTAAACTTACTAACACTTTGTATCATAGAAGCGATCGTCCCACATCCCATTTTCTTTAGAGAGGTCCTAAAACCCGGAAATTAGTTAGTGTTTTTGCACCACTGGTTCCCTCGTCTCAAAGTCAATGGGTTTTAGGTTAGATGCCTGAAATAAGGTCTGTGGTTTCCACAAGCTTAAGAGACTTTTATGTTTTGCTCTGCGACGTAAAACACATCAATAAATGGCCCACTTGTGAATTTTGAAGTTTTTACTTGTCTTGAAAAGGGTGGTTGCTAGCAAGTGATTAAATGAGACTACAGAACATCATCACGCCGAACACAGATTTTAAGTCATGCAGTCATATTGTGGTCCATTTATAGGCTTACGTTAGCTTTTTACTTCTGGTGATTGCATTTGTGCTTCAAAAATCCTGAAGAAGATAATCTCACTGAACAAAACATGTAAATGCAATAAACTTTTGTTTGCCCTAGAGCTAATTTTCTGCAATAATCCAAAATCCAATGAAAAAATCCTATTGACTTTTTGTTAAGGGAACCAAGGTGAAGCTAAATGAAGCATTTACCTACAAAAAACGTCATCCCTGATGCACTTTTACTCTTAGGTATACTTAAGGCTGTCGCTGACAGTAGTGTATTGTTTGTTTGTAAAAATCTCAATATTGATTTGGGGATAATGATGTTTGTCAGCTGTACACAATGTTTGACTTTGAGTCTTGTTAGCATAGCATTAGCTTTCTGGCTCATAGCTGCATCAAGGGAATCTATGAGCTGAGCAGACTAGAGGTATTTCCCATTGCCAAGTCATATCTAAAGTTTGTCCTGGTTACTGCAGCAGTCAACAATGTTTTCATTGCATAACATCCTTATGGGATGGTAATGATTCCTCCAGGTATCACGTAAACCCTCAGGTGTTACCAGGGAAAACGAGTTATGGCTTCTGAAAAACTTTAGATTTTGATTGCAAAACACATGAAAATATTATTGAATGATGTGGCCAACATTTTTTTTTCATTGGTAAATAACCATGGTATAAGTGGGATAATGCCCTTCAAGGTGTCGATTATCAGTCTGACGGTTCACACCTGCTTGTCAGCCATTAATTCCTGATAATGGACACCTCATCGGGCATTATCCCTACATGGATCATAAAAGTGTGTAAGCTGCAACATTTGACATTCCAGTTTTGGTGTCCATTATGATGAGGAGTAAAGGGTTGGTTCGATGAAATTACAAACAAACATATTTCTCTGGTACCTCTGGTGATATCTTGGTGTGCAGACAGTTTTAGGGTTGTTTTGGTTTTGAGACATCGCTGAGATTTCTGCCTCCTTCTCAATACAATGGGTGTGAATGGAATTTAGCTCACTGAGCTCAAAGAATTGAAAAATCCCATCTGAAAAATCCCAGAAACAGAGTCAGCAATGCTCTGAATAATCCATATAACATATTGTCAGCAATTTCTATGCTGTCCTGTTTTTGTTTTTTTGGACCGACCCTTTAAAGAGAAACCAAATTCTAACCTCTTTGGCCACCGACAGCAGGTCAGATGAAGGCTCATCAGAAAACACATCAAAGGTGCAAGCACAGTGGGTCCATTTCTTCATCTCTGAAAGGATATGTTTGACACAAAGATGGTTGAAGCATTTTAAAAATTATATAATCAACCAGCCTGTATTATAAGTTGTAAAAGTGTCTATATGAAAATATTAAAATCAAATCAGTAAAATATAACAGTAGCAGTGGAAGACTGAATAACAATGGTAGGTTGAGTTTAGATCCAGAGGTCTGTAGAATTTATACTTAATCTAACCTCCATCATAGCTGTGTATGTTGTCTTTTCCTTGTTTGTCTCCACAGTCCTCACTCAGGCTTTGTTCTTTATCTCCATTGTTATCTTGAGATGCAAAGTCTTTCTCAATCAGATACATCACCAAAATCGTCTCCAGGAGGCTCAGCAGCATCAGACCAAAAATCCCAATGCAGAAGACCGCTGAAGGGAGAAAGCCATTATCATCAGCGCTGACAAACAACCAGACATTGGCTCAGTATTTGTGCTGTTCGTGCTCATATGAAGTGCAGTCCAATAAAGGTAAGACTCTAAATGTCTTTACCTATAAGTGGAATCCTGTCTGAAGAGGGCAGAATGTCATTGAGAATAAGCTGCATCACAGTGACAGCAAGCAGCACAGTGACCTTGAAGCTGAGCTTCTCGCCCCCGGTGTCCGAGATCAGGAAGGAGGCCAAGTCCAGACAGAAGAAGAACAGGATGGGTAGTATGAAGTTGGCCATGTAGAGGGCAGACCGCCTCCTCATGGTGATCTGTGATTTGAAAAGGTCATGTGGTTGATCTTCCAGTTTATGAAGCTCTAACAAAAGTTCAGCCAGGAAGACAATACTTTATCATGCTTAGATCTGTAATTTATTTCTCATACCATTTGTTATTCACTCCTCACACATATGCTCACTTGTACTTTCTTGTCATTGTCGAAGGCTGTCAATTAAAACATGAACTGTTCTGTCAGCTGATCAGTTATCCAATAGCACAAGGACACACTCTCTCTCTGTGTTAGCCTATCATCTTACTGCTAGTTCTTCCATGCTGCAGTTGTGCACACCCCCCACTTCCCCATCACCAACCAATCTTTGCAGATTCATCAGCCTAATCAATCTAAGCCTCATCAGCCACCACCACCAGTAGTGTGTGGCATCAACGCAGGAAGGTGGCTTCAGCCAATGCATCTTTCGCTCGGGAATAACTTTCAAACATAAACATGAAAAATATATAAAAACAAACTGTTGTGATGTTATGGGTAGAATATGTTAAAACAGAGGAAAATGGTTGCAAAAAAACTTTATTAGCCTATTTACTGAGGAATGGATTTGGTGTGAAGCCACGGCACGTAGTCGCAGTTGGCAAGCAACAATGACGAGCGGCACAAGGCACCATTTGGTGCCCTGTAAATCTAAGTGAAATGTGGTTTTATTAGTCTTGCTCACCAGACCTTTCTCAAGAAAAGAAAAGTCTGGCTGGGCCCACTCTCACTTTAAGATTGGAGAAAAAAACGCCCCGGCTGCTTGTATTTCTTTCAACCAATCACAATCGTTCTGGGTGGTGCCACAGCAATGGTGCTCTTGCAAAAATATTGCCGGGGGGAAACAGGTTTTGGTGTAACACGCCCACAAAAATATCGCCTACAGGACGCGAACCATGGCAGAAAAATGGCTACATCCCCGCAAGATCAAACACCGCAAAAGTTAGTAAAGGACGTGTTGAAAACGGTTGAAAACTGCTACACAGCCGGAGGTGGTAGGGCGGGACTTCAGCGGGTGGCTCGTTCCGCCCAATGAGAGGCTGATCTATGCAGCGAACTTTCGCCCACTCAGACTATGGTTTTATTAATAACACTGCCTAATAGCACTGCTGCTGGGCATTTATTGAAGTGTTTGTTTATTTCAGTCGTTGTATTCTGTGTTTGTGTGGGTGCGCTCACATTGAATAATGTGCATTGGGGTATAAAATAGATTCTCATCGTTGCAACAACTGTGCGGAAAATGTTCAATGTTATCAGGTTGTCAGTATTATTATTTATTGTTATTCAGTAACTGAAAATAATTTGTAAGTTGTTGTGAAAAGGCTACTTGACATGCAAAAATAATTGTTGCTTAGTTTGAGCTGATTTTAAAATTAGGCCGAAGGTGAAACTGCAGTATTTGTTTTACAGCTATTTTGTCTTTCTTTATTTCAGATATGTGAAGTGATTCGCGCATGGTAATCTATGAATAATGTTGACTTCAGAGTTCTGAAGCATGGACGTCGTTTTTGTTTGAACTTTTTTGACTGATCGAAATCTCTTCATCACCAAGGACAGTGACCAAGCTATTTTTACTCTTACCACAGGTTGGTAAGAGAGCTACATGTGTACATCACGGAGGTATTTTGTCATGCAGTGACTTTATGTGCACAAAACATGATAATAAAGTTTGCATTAATTAGTACTGATTCTGCTTCTGTGTTTCTTATGGTGGCCAGCCTTGTGGTAGGTTGTTGCAACGATGCTGATTTCTTTACAGCCATTGTGCCACAGTGCTGTAATATTTCCATACAAGTTTCAAATTTAGCAATAGAATATGTACTACATAACATCTGTTTATTTCGCACGTGCATGTAAGCTGTCGAGCAACGCAATATTCAGGGCAGCCCCCCCTGCTGAAAATATGCGCACATGGTGTCTGGACTCCATGGGGGATTTATTTTGCTTTGGCTGAAATACCCCTTGATTACAAATCTCCTCCTGGTTCGAACAACTAAAGACTTTCTGTGAACTCTTTGTCATTACTTCATCTGTTTATCTGCACACCTGTAATCTTTATTGAACAATATCTTTGATTAATCTACTTGTCTCTTCTGATTGAAATATACTTTGACAAAGGAATCTGTGTAGTCCCCAGGGAGTTACTGCCCCAGGCGAAGGAGGTCAAGTATATTGGGGTCTTGATCACAGTGAGGGTATAACAAAGTGTGAGACGGATCGGCGGTTTTTGCAGTGATGCTGGTGCTGCACCAGACTGTTGTTGTGAAGAGAGAGCTTAGCCAGAAGGCAAAGCTTTTTATTTACAAGTCGACACTGTGGATACAGGCAGCCCAAATGAGTTTCCTCCATAGGGTGGCTGGGTTCAGCCTTAGAGATAGGGTGAGAAGCTCAGACATCCAGAAGGAGCTTGGAGGGAGTAGAACCGCTGCTCCTTCCCATCAAAAGGGGTCAGTTGAGGTGGTTCTGGCATCTGATCAGGATGCCTCCCGGGTGCCTCCCGTTAGAGGTGTTCTGAGCAGATCCAACTGGTAGGAAAAGTCTACATGTAGATTTTTGCTGAAAGAAATAAGTACTAGCAATAAAATGTACTCAATACTTACAGTATAAACAACCATGCTTTGGTTGTATTTGAAGACGTTGCTGGTTTTCTGTTTGACTGTCATCTTTTTGACTGTCATGTTGACGAACAGCCACTCATACTGGTTCTCCATCACCTTGATCTTTGAAGCATCTAACATGGCTTCAAACTTTATTTCTTTATCTGATGTGAAAAATAAAAACAAAACACTTAAGTTTCTAATCAGGTAAACAAAGAAGGGCTGACTGTAGTGATATCTGCTGGTGTGTGTTCATGTGACAATTAACTGTTAAACTGATCACAGCACACGTTTGAAATCAAACACAAAACATACATGATTTAGATCAATGTCTAGAAACTTTTGAACACAATAAGTTAGCAGCTCACCATTGTGTAAAGCAGACTTGAAGGAGAGTGTGCAACTTTGAATATCAAAAGGGAATTTGTAAACTTGAATCCTGCAGGTACTGACCAGCACCTGATTGTTTGCAAGTTCAACAAGACCATGAAATCTAACAGCAATATAAGGACTCGGAGGAGCCTTGTTCTTCTCTGTCCTGTATGAAAACACATAATAGACACATTATGGCAAATTCCAGAGCAATCCATCAGACAGTTGTGGAGACATTTAACCCTTGTGCTACCCCTGGACATTTTTGTCCATTTCCAAAATTCAAAAATTCCCTCACAGACAAATGAAAGGTCACTGGGGGGTGATTTTTTGCATGGGGGTGTCATTCTGGATGAAATTTCAAAATCTCAACTGTCAGCACGAAAATCCATTATTTGACCCTGTAATGCATTTTTATCCCATCCATGACCCTTCAAGTAGACAAAAATGTCCATTTTCTAGAAAGTGTCCAACAAAAGGTCACGGGGGTGATTTTTGTCAAGGGGGGGGGGGGGGGGGGAAACCCTCAGAAGAGTGATCAGCTCAGCACAAACAATCATTGGTTGCCCTCTGCCCACACTGGATGACATATCCAAATCCTGCTGTCACAACAGGATCACATCCACAGCAATCCACAAAAATAGAGCCCATCACCTGTTTGGACTGATGCCCTCCAGGCGGTGCTACAGGTTAATTAAATCACACACCTCAAGACTCCGCAATAGTTTCTACTACCCCTGGGCCAACAAACTACCAACAAACACTGAGTAGTTAGTATTAACAACTGAGTAATTGAAAATAATTAAAGGGAAATTTTGGTTTATTTCAACCTGTCTCCTATCGTCCTAAATTTGTTACTAGTGACATAAAAATAATAGTTAGCATGTTAGCCGTTAGCCTAGAAACAGCCGGGGCGCATAGTATAGGCTGACCAAACGTCCTCTTTTGCCCGGACATATCCACTTTTCACGTCCTGTCCGGGGCGTCTGGGGGGGGGTGTTTATAAATTGATGATAATGTCCGGTTTTCCTTGTGTGTGTGTGTGTGCGTGCGCGCGTAATCCCCGAGAGGCTGCCTTATCAGCGGATCTCCAACACTCACAACAAGGAAGCAGCAGACACCCACAGCGCAGCATTATTCTAAGCTTCCAAGATGCCGAAGCGCAAGTGCAGCTTCACAGATGAACTGCAGAAAAAATTCCCAACTTACTGTCCCAACCCGGTCGGGATATAGGGGAGGCTGAGTGCACCGTGTGCAAAGCTGGCACATATCTCTGTCTAATAAAGGTGCCGGGGACCTCAAAGTTGGATTTTCTAAAACAGAAGAGGTATTATTTAGAACATTATTTCATATTATTTATTTATTTATTTGTCCAGTGAGACTTGAAAAGATAGCTATTATTTTACAAGTTGATTTTTCTAATACAAAAGAGACATTATTTCTATCATTATTGCATTCCAGAGATTTTACATTTATTTTACATTTATATTTATTTTTGTACAACTGAAACTTGTAAAAAGATTATTATTTTAGGCATAATAAAAGCAAGTTGAGTAACCTCTGAGAAGCCTATCAAAATTTCTGTCACTGGGAGATATTATTTTGTAATATAACTGAATTTTCTATCCATACATATAAACTTTAAATATATTAAAATGATAAGGCATCTTTGAGTAAACAGCGAGTATCATTTAAGTAGGCTATCTCGTGGCCGGGACGAGTGTCCTCTTTTTTTGGAAATCAAAATATGGTCACCCTAGCATAGTAGCATCAGACCTGTTAAAACATAAGTGAACGGGCAATCTTCAAGTGCAAAGTTAACCCACTAAACAAGCTTTTTCTCCACAAAGACCACCTCATATCGTTACGATAAATGTCAGAGAACATATAGAAAACAACATGTAAACGTGTTGTCTTACCTTACCGGTGTGGTGCCATGTTTGTTGTTTACCATTTAGCTCTGCTTTCCAAAGCGCGGCCGAAATATATCTCGCGAGCTCTAGATAAAGCCCAGCTGGATACTAACATTACTCCAGGTGGAGGTGTCTTGTCCTCGGTCACATCCAGACCTTGAAAATAAGGCTGCAACCGGTCCCATTCCTTGCAACAGAGGCATTCCTCTTCTGTGGGCACTGGGGCACAGCATTCTCAGGTACACCACCAATCTCCAGAGCTACACAGCCTTGCAGCAGCCATTCCTCCCCTCTTGTTCTCTAACGTTACCTGTTGCGCCTCTCTCTCTCCTCCTCCTCCGTTCTTCAATTTCACGAAGCTCTTCGTCAGTGTATTCTGGCTCAAATAAATAAGGGCGGCCATCAAATTCTGCAAAATCAAAATCTTCCTGCACAAAGTCGAATTCTGGCAAAAAGTCAGCCATTATTCTATAAATCTTTCATAAAATAAATGAATGAACCTTTCAGGCTACTGTCTGGTTGTGCCTTGCAGCTGCTGCGGCTTGTTCTTGCGATATTTCAGCCGCGCTTTGGGAAGCAGAGCTAAATGGTAAACAACAAACATGGCACCACACCGGTAAGGTAAGACAACACGTTTACATGTTGTTTTCTATATGTTCTCTGACATTTATCCTAACGATATGAGGCGGTCTTTGTGGGAAAAAAAGCTTGTTTAGTGGACTAACTTTGCACTTGAAGTAGGCAAGGCAAGACAAGGCAAGTTTATTTGTAGAGCACAATTCGTACACAAAGTAATTCAAAGTGCTTTACAGAGCAAGAAAATGCATTAAAATCACAATACAAAATAAAAACATAAATAATCATTATAAAATGAACTTTAAAAGAGAAGAGTGCAGATAAGATCCTTTCAGTCATATGCACAGTGAAATAGAGCTGTTTTGAGCCTAGATTTGAACATTGTCAGAGTAGAGGCCTGTCTCACATCTTCAGAAATACTGTTCCAGATTTTAGCTGCATAAAACTGGAATCCTGATTCCCCATGTTTAGTCCTGACTCTGGGCACCAGCAGGAGGCCGGTCCCTGAGGTCCTCAGAGTCCGAGATGGTTCATTTGGCACTAACATGTCAGAGATGTACTTTGGTGCTAGGCCGTGGAGAGACTTGTACACAAGCAGAGCTGCTTTAAAGTCTATTCTCTGAGCCACAGGAAGCCAGTGTAGAGACCTGAGCACAGGACTAATGTGCTCGTACTTCCTGGTTCTGGTCAGGACCCGAGCAGCAGCATTCTGGATGTACTGCAGCTGTCTTACGGCCCGTTTGGAGAGGCCAGTGAGCAGGCCGTTACAGTAGTCTAACCTACTAGAGACAAATGCATGGATAAGTCTCTCCAAGTCAGGTTTAGACACTATACCTTTGATTTTGGCAATGTTTTTTAGATGGTAAAAAGCTGCTGATGTTATTGATTTGATGTGGCTGTTAAAGTTCAAGTCTGAGTCCATTATTACCCCGAGATTTCTAACCTGATTTTTAGGTTTTAGAGAGAGAGACTGGAGGTGACTGCTGACACTTTCTCTTTGTTTCTGTGGACCAAATACGATGACTTCAGTCTTGTCTGAATTTAGCTGGAGAAAGTTGTTTTGCATCCACACACTGACCTGATGCAGTGACAGAGTGAATCCACTGGTCCATATTCACCTGCTGTCAGTGAGACAGGTGTCAGACCTGTTAAAACTTACGTTTAAACAGGTCTGACACTACTATGCGCCCTGGCTGTATCTAGGCTAACGGCTAACATGCTAACTATTATTTCTATGTCACTAGTCACTTGAAACAAATTTAGGACGATAGGAGACGGGTTGAAATAAACCAAAATTTCCCTTTTAAAGCATTATTTAAGTCCCTACAAAGCTGTTAGCCAATAATTCCCTAACTTCCCCAGTGTCTGCACCCAGTAAGTGTTTTATTGATTCTCAATGTACATCATAATTACACTGTATGTGGCAGGCTATATTGGAAAATGTTACCATTTATTAAAACCCAAGACACTATGTTTTATCGGCCCATAAACTTTGTGAAGAACTGGTGTTTGTCAAAAGTGAAAGTGACGCTCTGTCACCAGTGGTTGTAGTAAGTGTATGTGAATTTGTGAATGTAAGAGCATGCACATTCATTCAAACTTACACCTCTTCAATGATGAGATCTGGCTTCCACAATAGTGCAGAAGGAACTACTATATGTTGAAGTCCACAAAACATAGGGGGATGCCAACCAATGTGTTCGTTTGGCCAGCTCTACGCAGGAAAACAAGGGAGACAGGGGATCAGGAAGGAGAAAGAAAAAAGAATGAATAAAAAGATCCAATTTATGGGAAACAATATGAGTTTCTACTAATTATCAACAGGAGATAATGAGTAAAAACAAAAACAAACAAACAACAACAAAAAAAGTGCTGTCTGCCTCAGAGAGAACTCACCATATAAATCCAAACGTGAAGAACCAAAGTCTGGTCGATCTCTCTCTATGAGCACAGAAATACAGTCTGTGAGAAAATCTTTTACATTTTCACAGACATTAGGTGTGTAAGCATTTGCAACGGCCAATCAACATGACTGTTTGTAATCATAACCTGATAAGACTGATTCAGTCATAATCTGATTGCCTTGTATTGGTGAAGAAAATTTACCTCCAAGAAGAATCCAAAAACAGAGAATGATGAATTGAATTAAAGAGAGACCTAGTTTAACAACAACAAAACTATATCAGAACATCAGTTTACAAACTCTCACACTATAATCCAAGTCTCATTTGGATAATAGTGCTTCCCAACCTCCAAAACACGTGCATACAAGTAGTATGCATGCGCTCACTCACTGGCAAGATAACGATTTATCGGCGACCGAGAAGCCGGCTCCAGGTCCAATAATTTCCTCTTCGTAGGTGTCATGCTCCACAGTGACTGCACCCAGCCCACTGTGGGTCTATTAGGGAATGTACTAAAATATACCAACCGGGCTGCATGATGTGTGTGGTTTATGCACTGAAGGGACTGTTCTTAACTTATCAGAGGATGAGGGTGGCTGGTTGATTTTAATTTTATCTATTTATTTTATTTAGATCCCCCCTGTAGCCACAAATATTTTTCCTTGAGCTTTTTGAAGTGACTGGTGGAAAATTTATGACCCTTCACCATGAATTCGATTTTTAAAATTTAGCTGAGTTCATCGGATGAACTCAGTTAAATTTTAAAAATCGAATTCATGGTGAAGGGAAAAATATTTGTGGCTACAAGGGGGATCTAAATAAAATAAACCTCCTGAAGGTTTTTGTGTCTTATCATGTCATTACAAATTACATTATAGACGGGTGAGTGTGATTGGCACATCTGGGTCATGCCGTACTGTGTGTTAGCATGTCCAGTGTGTTTTCATTTATATACCTACAACTTATCCTGTTCTGCTTTTGAGCCCTATGGCAACTTAAAAGCAGCGGGCATAAGGCCACTGGTTGTTTTTTCTTTGTCCCAGTGGACAGCACATCTGGGTGATGCTATAGAATGTGCGTTAGTATGTTGGATGTTTTTCCATTCACATCCCTACAGCTGCGGAGCAATGCCAGCACACAGTCCCGTTCTTATGCATATCTTTCTCTCTGGTGCTGCTGTGGCTGACACCGGGAACTGTTGGATGGGTCTTCCAGGTCCACTGTATTGTATCTAACCTCAGCATTTGTCTGTTGTGCTCCATATGATCCCTGTCTCATAACTGATCAGACTTTGATCCTGTGTCTGCTCATCCCTGTGTACACAAGGTATAGGCTATTTATTTATTTTATATCATCACACTACTACGTATTAATGTAAGCAGGGGATTTCAATAACAAGTGGAACTGTGAATATAGAGATGGGTATGAAATAAGCTCTAATAAACTGAAGCTTCTTTATTTTGATCACCTGCTATGAAAAGGAGCCTCATTAATTTAAAATACCTAGTCATTCTTCTGAGGTCATTTTGGTGAAAGCAATGCAAAAGTAATAAAATAGGTAGTCTCACTCACCAGACCTTTCTCAAGAAAAGAAAGGTCTGACTGGGCCGACTCTCACTTTAAGATTGGAGAAAAAAACACCCCGGCTTTTTTTTATTTCTTTCAACCAATCACAGTCGTTCTGGGCGGTGCCAGCAACGGTGCGCTTGCAAAAATATTGCCGGGGGGAAACAGGTTTTGGTGTAACACGCCCACAAAAATATCACCTACAGGACGTGAACCATGGCAGAAAAATGGCTACATCCCCGCAAGATCAAACACCGCAGAATTTAGTAAAGGACGTGTTGAAAACTGCTACACAACCAGAGGTGGTAGGGCGGGATTTCAGCGGGTGGCTCGGGTTGTAAGGTGTACGGTTGTAAGGTGTACAAATGGAGATAACTAGTAATTTGCCTAACACTGCATACGACTGGATAAACCACTGTAAAGCGTCTTTGAGTACCTTGAAAAGCGCTCTGTAAATGTAAAAATGTATTATTTTTATTATTATTATTATTGTTATTAAATGAGAGTTGGATCACACTGCACAAATTGTGAGAGTTTGTAAACTGATGTTTTGATACAGATTTGTTGTTGTCAAACGTGGTGCCCATTTACTTCAGTTCATCAAGAATTTTTTCATTTTGGGATTCTACACTCACCATGCAGGAGGCATGCGAGAAGACCTGAGTTTAGTTCATGAATTTAAGGTAACACGTTGTAATTGATATACATATGATCATCCTGTGGGTGAAGTATATGACAGAAAAATGACAGAAAACTTACCACATCTAGGACGTCATAGACCTCCATTGTGAGGCATACTGATGTATTCGTTTTGAAGTGTTTAACAGGTCGGGCTGAGGTGTACAGTTCATTGTTTTTGTTCAGGTTTAGGAATTTTAAAACATCCTCATAACCACACTGAAGCTCAGTGGACACCTCATCTACAGCAGAAACATCAAGACATGTCGTCAGTCAAAGAGTTCATTTGTCAACTGGAACTTAAAAGCTTGTTTTTTTGTTTTTCTGTACATCAGATTTACTGTATATGCTGTTCATTGGCAGCTGTTCATTCTAATGTATATTTTAGAAGAAATGACAAACGGTAATCTGTGGGGAGGGATCCGCTGCTCATGAATTCATTATCAAACTCTGAAAAACATCAGCTCACAAATGTCTTCCATAATATCCAGTGTTTGTGGTCACTGAAAGGCCATTATCAGATGGGCGTGGGCAGAACCGCAGGGTTTTATGTCATCAGTCCACTAATGATTTTTTAATGTAAGCATTTTACAGTAAATCAACTTTAAATAGGGCTCTTCATTTGAGATCCATCTGCTACACATTGTCTAAATGCATCTAACATCAGCCCACGCCAATCCTCATGTATTCACAACAGTCAAAGTCTGATTAAAGACATACAGTACAATGCAGGATTTTTCTAATAAACGGTGAAGGGACTCACACAGAAGTAGTGTCTTTCAATCATCAACTTTAACCCTAGAAGTGTTTGGCTGTGTATTTTCCTGCAGAGACTGCCCTCTGCCTATATTTTTTTATTTCCTTCTTTTTTTCTGCAGTCGGTGCTGTTGTGTACCCTCACAGCAACCAGAGGGGTATTCAAGAGAGTGGGTTTAGTGAAAACTCTGAGTGTGTTAACTCTGACATGAGGGAAACTCATTTTTTTTTTTTTCAGTTCCAGAAAGAGAGGTAAGTCAAACTCTGAGTCAATCACCATGGCAACTGACTCTATGAACCAGCGAGCAGGTTTTCTTTAAGAAACCCTGAGTTCACCCTGTCTCCTCCCTACTGCTGAGCCTGAAGCAAGCTGGCACAAAGACATGGATTGTCCGTATGTAGGAAGTCTGATCGATATCGAGGAAGAATTAATTCACAATGCTTTACGCCGGGGGAGGATCTTCAGACCCCGTTTAGATGTGTTGTCTTTCCCCAATGAATATCTGTTTGAACGTTCAAACATATTCTATTGCTCGTCTGTCCGTCCTGGAAGAGGGATCCCTCCTCAGTTGCTCTTCCTGAGGTTTCTACCGTTTTTTTTATCCCCATTAAAGGGGTTTTTTGGGGGAGTTTTTCCTTATCCGCTGCGAGGGTCATAAGGACAGAGGGATGTCGTATGCTGTAAAGCCCTGTGAGGCAAATTGTGATTTGTGATATTGGGCTTTATAAATAAAATTGATTGATTGATTGATTGATTGATAATGACATAGCCACTGAATGACAGCTTATTTAAGCTACTTTGTTTAATAAATCAAATATGAATAAAACTAAAGAAAGGTACAGTCATGGCCAAGTAAAATATGCCTTACCTGTTTGAATGATGTGTTTATATTTATTTGCTGCTTTCAAGTGTGTTTTTCCCCTGTGAGATTGCACCTACATGAAAATCATTTTTATTCAAAACCACTCCACCACTTTTTCACCTGTATGCTATGATGATGTCAGTTCAGAGTGAGATTTTTGCTAGGTGGCGAGGGGGGGGGGGCTTTAAATAAGTCATCAACTATCTATATATGCTTAAAATAGCTGCTGAAATTAGAAAAATAAAAATTCTTTTTTAACATTGTTTTGGGGGGGCATTTTGCCTTAAATTGACAGGACAGTTAAGTGTCGAACCCGGGCCATACACTTCCCCTTAATCAGGAGTGCCCTCCGTAGCTGCGAGTGTAACTTGATTTGGAGAGACACTCAGTAGTGAAGTGGTAGTGGGTAGGGAGTGGTTTGAGATTGGGCCAAGGTGTACCTACTCAGAGTTGATTGAACTAATTAGAATCTGCTGTTTTGGAACCGGATACTCAGAGTTTCCCAGCTCAGAGTAAGTCAACTCAGAGTTCAGGATTAGACTCAGAGTTTGTTGAACGTCCTTCCTGGAATACCCCTCAGGTGAGGGCGGAGATATTTACAAAGGTAGCAACCGTGCCAGACCGCAAGCAGCATGAGGCACAGTGCCGTATAAACAAGAATATAGTGAAACAGAATGCCAAACAAGAGTGAATCTGGGGTTGGCTATTACTTTTGTTTTTGCTGGTGAGCATGTTTACAAACAGTAACTGACAATCCTGCATATCATACCTCTAAACATTTTGTCTATTTGCTGTTTACACCGCTAAAATATGTTTCAAAAGTGTCTGAAGTTTCAAGACTTTGATTATTAAAGTTACAGGAATAAATATTCATATAACATATTACTGTGCACTTTCAGAGTGTTTGTTGCCCATACGTACCTTCGGCACTGTCATCGAAGTAGTAGAAATGTCGATAATCAAAATAATGTCCACCTGACAGAAAAGAGTATACAGGTCTTACCCTGATTCAACTGAAGCAGTTCACAGTTTTGTTAAACTCTTAGCAAAAACTCTCAGTACACAGTTTCGTATCAATGTTATCATTTAACATCCTAAAATATAATTTTGAAATGGCTTTGAGATTCTGTGATAACTGCTACAGAGTTAAATATTTATACATATAATCACTGTGCTCTTTTGGAAGGTTTATTTCCTGTACTTACCTTCCTCAGAGTTTTCACTTGACTTCAGTAGATTATCAAGAAGCTCTGGTTTCTCTGAGTAATTGGAGGTACTTCCATCTGAAAGAAAAGAATAAACAGCTCTTTAGATTTAATACTTTTTTCATTTACTGCCTTCATTCACAGCGTGATTAAGTGCATCCGCAGATAGTTTTGTAGCTGATGTTTAATTGGTTTTGAGAGTCTTTAATAACTGTGAGAAATATAAATATTCACATATATATAATTACTGTGCATATTTGGAGTGTTTATTTCTGTTCATACCTTCCTCAAAGCTCTGATTTGACTTCTGTTGATCATCAGGAAGCTCTGTGTGCTCTGAGTAACTGAAGGTACTTCGATCTGAAAGAAAAGAGTAAACAGCTCTTTAGATTTACTATCATTTTCATGAACACACATCTCCTGCCTTTATACACAGCATGATTAAGTGCATCTGCAGATAGTTTTGTAGTTAAGGTTTTTAACTGATTCTCCATCTCAGAGATTTTTGTCTCTACCCTAAAACAGTGGAGGTGAATGGGATTTTATTGACAATTAAAAATTCAGCAGCAATCTCTCTTCCCAGGCACAGTGTCCCTGTTACTCTAAATTATCCACATATCACACCGTGAACAGATTTTTTTAAAAGAGACATTGCTTGTAGAATTATTATTCTTCGTTTGTTTTTCATGCTGTATAACAAAACTCCATTCACCTCCATCATATTGGGGTAGCAACAGAAATGTCACACCTGCATGCATCATACAGAATTGTTCCAGCTTACCTGTGAGGAGGAGCAGAAAGAGGAAACCTGCAAGCATCATGACTGTGAGAGGTCTGCACAGTCAGTGAGCGTCCTCTGAGCATTAACTGTGATGTCTGGAAATGTGCGTGGCAATAACAGTATCATTGCCTTGTAGCGGAGAGGGCTGGGCAAATTTAGGGCTGGGGGGGATGTCATTGGTCTACTGATAGAAACATAGCATTATGCAACAAAGCTGCCTGGAACTGCCAACACCCTCGACACTTAGCCGCCTGTGGGCAAATCAATTCTGCCATCAAACCATAATGTAGGAGCTGCATCTGATGGAAGTCTTCAGTGAAGCACACACTAACAACAACAGTGTACATTTATTAACAGTAAACAGGCTACACCTGCTCTCAGTTATGACAGTCGTGCTGAGTTTTCCCAAACCTCCCAGGGCACAGTCAATTTCATAACCTCTCTTACCACTGAACATCTTGTTCCTCTCAGTTGCCCCTTTTGATAAAGTTGCAAATTCTGCAAATACCAGATGGGCCGGCCCACCTTGTAGGCTGCAAGGTCGCCGCCAGCAATGTTGGGAAAAATAATTGTAGGGGAAAAAAAGAAAGACCTGATGACTTGATGCTGGAACAGCCCATCTGATTAGTGGTTACATGGTCCCAGAATTGTCAATACTCTACCTATAGTAGGGCAGGTGCAGTGGTACTGGTCGTGGTCACCTCCCCCATCCCTTTAGGTGGATCTGTCCATCATGTCATGTCAGACTTCAAGGGTCGAGACAGAAGATTGGAGAAAGCGGACTGAAAGTACAAATGAGAAGGTAGCTGCCGGCAGCTGAGAATGAGACATGACAACTTCTAAGCAGATGATACTGTTAGTGCTTGGCTTGCTCATGTGGTGAAAGTTAGGGGGTGATTGCACAGAAATGAGACGCTAGAGACGCGGACGCTTCAAAGACGCTTGAAATGCTGGAAGCGCTTATTCAATTCGTGCAAGCTACTGGCATCTGACGCTCAAAAAAGCTGAAAATATTTTAACTTTTCAGCGTCTCCGCGCATCTAGAAACGCGTGTGTCTACAAAAACGCGTCTAAAAAGACGCCGGAAAAACGGCCGTTTGAAAAGACTGGCTGGCTTGAACGCCAGTCACACGTGCCATATCATAGGAAAACAATTGTGTTACTGGTGTCACGCTTCTAGTGTTTTATCTCTGTGTGATCGCCCCCTTAATGGAGCTCACCAGTTAGCTGATTCCTGATGGCCAATCCACACCTGATCAAAGCAACTTTGAACACGGTTTTGTTTGGCTGTTTATAAAGCTTAAAGTATAAATTATCGTCCAATCATGCGTTTCATTTTTTGCATGTGTGTGTGTGAGTTTGTGTATGAGTGTGTGTGTGTGTGTGTGTGTGTGTGTGTGTGTGTGCACGTGTGTGTTGTTTGGAATATCTGATTCATTATGTAAGCAAACTTTGTTTTTGAAATTTAGTATCGCATTTGTAGTGTGAAGTCATGCTTTGAAGTGTGTACATGTGTGTGTGGGAGTGTGTGTGTGTGCGTCTTTGTTTGGGTGGTTGTATGTGTATGTGTATTGTGTGGTAGCTCTGATTCATTTTGTAGGCAAACAGTTTTTGTAATTTAGTTTACACACCTGTGGTTTGAAGTTGTGCATTGAAGTGTGTGTGTGTGTGTGTGTGTGCGTGTGTGTGTGTGTGTGTGTTTGTGAGTGTTTGTGTGTGTGTGTGCCTGTGTGTGTTGTCTTTAAGGTCTGAATCATTATGGAGGCAAAACTTGTTTTGAAATTTCGTTTACACACCTGTAATAGGAAGTTGTGTTTTGTAACACATGCACACACATGCAAAGTTTGTCTATATTGTTTATTTCAGATGACATGTTTACAGATTACAGATTACAGAACGTTTATTTCTCCACATCTTCAAAAAAAAATACAAAAAAAAACTTGTTATATAGTAGCCTATATGTATATGCTTTGTATTATGGACAAGCAAACAAAAACACTTCAACAGTAGTACATTACATGTCCACATAAGAGAACTTGATATGAACTTAAAAAGGGCTACACTGAATTTTTTATATGTTTTAGCATCTATTTAAAAGACTCATTTAACAGTACAATTTTGCATATTACATATCAAAGGCATGTGTTACTATAACTTCATAGCACAGCCACACTGGTGTCAAAGGCTAATACAGAGTATATGTGTTAGACATGTAGCAGTGTGTAAAACATGCAGCACTACTGAGGGACTACATATGTCAGAACTTTGGTTCAGGACACACCAATTTATAGTTGTAGCAGAATAGCACAAAGAAATGCTGCTTTTCTGTCTTGTTGTAGACGTAGTTGTTGACATTGTTTAAAAAAAAAAACTTTACTGGAATCATCATGGGAAGATGATGTTGAAGATAAATAAAAATGCACAGTGTCTGCCATTAATAACAATAATAATATAAATTATTTGACTGCAGAGGCTTTTTAGTAAAGACAATGAACTGCAGCATTGGGTCGTCAGAAAGAAATTATTTTAGATTATCCCGTGGGTCCATGTATTTTGTTTGTAACAAGTCAATGTGAACCCTCAGTAGTCGGTATTGAGCAACAATGGGTCATTGTTTTCTTTGGTCCAGACCTGTGAACAACAACCACATCTGGGACACCTCATGATGTTCCAACAGAAAGTCTAACATGTCTGATTTTCTTTTTTGTTGTTCTGGACTTCTCCCGTCACAGCCATCACTTTGACCAATAGGAATACAGAGCGATCTGCTGCTATGGACAACTGTATGACAACAATACCCCAGGGTTTTTGATTATTTCCTCTAGAGACTTTACCACACAGAGTAAAAAAGGGAAAAATGATGGTGTGAACAACAGAGGCACTTTATCAACTTGGTGAGTACTGCCATTAGCATCAAGCTAGCAAACAGTGTTATTTCTTCATAATGGAGGATATAAAGTAATGAAATTAACTTTTACTCACCACAACTGCAGAGGCTACCAGCTTCATTTCAAACATTTAGAAACGGGCCACTGTTTATTATTCCCTCTGTATTTTTCTATTTTTACTTTTTATCCGCTCCTGTTTGCCTTGATAAAGTTAATGCATCGTGCCATCATTTCAAACTCAACACTTCCTGTATCTGTATTAAATTAAAAACCCCTTATAACTTCGGTTGAGAGAATCCCTTAATTTTCTAAACAGGCTATTATTGTGAAACATTTGCAGGAACTTGTTGCGGAAGACTCAGTGACTGCCATAGTTTGCATGCGGTATGAAATTCAAATTTAGCTCCTGCCACCTGGTGGCACTTTTTATGTTACTACAACAACATTTCGGCTGGCACATGAACAGCCACAGTGACTGAAATAATAGAAATAGTAATAAAAATAGGACAACATTAACCCGATGACTTCACAGACGTCATGAAAGATGATCGGGGATGATTGGTGTGGACTAGCGTGAAGTCTGTTATGTCTGTCGGCCAAGTCACAGCACAATCGATTACACAATTATGACTCCACAATCGCATAATCTGACATAGTGACAGAAATGTTGTGTAGTGTGGGCCCAGCATTAGTCATATTTTTAAACTTAACCTCTACTCATCTTCTGCATAGCTCCATATTGAAAAAATAGCAACCAAAAACACACTTGCCATTGTGATGTAGAAAATACAGAAAACTTTGTTGATTGTTTTAGCCACTCCGGTCCAGTAGCAGGGCTTCCCTTTTTCCATCCTGCATTTATGAACCAGAGTGAGTGTTTTCTCCAACGCCCTCAGCTCATCTGAGACCTTCTCCAAGGCATTGGACTCCTCTGTCAGTTGGCTGCTGCTTCCCTGCCAAGTGATTTAATGGACTGGTAGTTAACAAGGTATAGGACCTTATCAGATTGTAAGGTACTACATTTGACATTCCAGTTTTTATGTCCATTGTAATGAGAATAGACTGGTTGGTTCATCCAAGTACAAACATATTTTCTCTGGTGTCTCTAGCGATATCTTGTTGTGACAGTTTTGAGATAGTTTTTGGTTTTGAGATATCTCTGAGATTTCTGCCTCCTTCCCAATACAATGGGTGTGAATCATATTTTGCTCATTGTGGTCAAATAATCATGTTAAAAAAGCCATTAGCAAAATCTCTTTCCAGAAATCAGTGTCACTTTGAATAACCCAAAGAACATACTGTCAACTGTTATGCTGTCCTGTTTTTTGTTTGTTTTGTTTTTTATTATTTGGTCGAATTTTAAAATAAAACCCAATTCTAACCTCTTTGGTCACAGACAGCAGTTCAGATGGAGGCTCATCAGCAGACACATCACAGACACAAGCACAGTGCGTCCATTTCTTCCCTCCTAAAAGGATATGATCGACACAGAGAAAGTTGTAGCATATTCAACATGATGTATTGCAAGTTGTAAGTGTGTCTCTATTCCAATCATATTAGTAAAATATGATACTAGCAGTGGAAAACTGAATAACAATGGAATATGGAGTTAATATCCAGAGGTTTAACTTGCACTTAATCTCACCTCTATCATATTTATGTATGTTGGCTTTGCCCTGTTTGTCTCCACATTCCTCACTCAGCCTTTGGTCTTCATCTTCCTCATTGTCTTTGGATTCAGAGTCCTTCTCTATCAGATACATCACCAAAATTGTCTCCAGGAGGCTCAGCAGCATCAAACTAAATATTCCAATACAGTAGGCCGCTGAAGAGAGAAGGCCGTATCATTAATGTGGATGAAAATAACCACACATTAACTCAACATATGTGCTGTTCCTGCTCATATAAAACGAAGTCAGATAGAGTAATGACTATGAGTTTCTTTACCTATAAGTGGAATCCTGTCTGAAGAGGAAGGCAAAATGTCATTGAGAATAAGCTGCATCACAGTGACAGCAAGCAGCACAGTGACCTTGAAGCTGAGTTTTTCACCACCAGTGTCCGAGATCAGGAAGGAGGCCAAGTCCAGACAGAAGAAGAACAGGATGGGTAGTATGAAGTTGGCAATGTAGAGAACAGACCGCCTCTTCATTGTGATCTGTGATTGTAATTTTTTTTTTTTCAAATTTCAGTTATTTAATCTTCTTCTCATATATTTCGACAAAGCACACAAGTTGCAAAAAAAAGGCAATCTATTTGTGTCTGCAGTGGTTAAGGAGCCTACAATCTACACTGAACAAAAATATAAACACAACACTTTTGTTTTTGCTCCCATTTTTCATGAACTGAACCCAAAGATCTAAAACATTTTCTATACACAGAAAAGACCATTTCCCTCAAATATTGTTCACAAATCTGTCTAAATCTGTGTTAGTGAGCACTTCTTCTTTGCTGAGATAATCCATCCCATCTCACAGGTGTGGCATATCAAGATGCTGATTAGACAGCATGATTATTGCACAGGTGTGCCTTAGGCTGGCCACAATAAAAGGCCACTCTGAAATGTTCAGTTTTATCACACAGCACAATGCCACAGATGTTGCAAGTTTTGAGGGAGTGTGCAATTGGCATGCTGACTGCAGGAATGTCCACCAGAGCTGTTGCCCGTGAATTGAATGTTCATTTCTCTACCATAAGCCGTCTCCAAAGGCGTTTCAGACAATTTGGCAGTACATCCAACCGGCCTCACAACCGCAGACCACGTGTAACCACACCAGCCCAGGACCTCCACATCCAGCATGTTCACCTCCAAGATCGTCTGAGACCAGCCACCTGGACAGCTGCTGCAACAATCGGTTTGCATAACCAAAGAATTTTTGCACAAACTGTCAGAAACCGTCTCAGGGAAGCTCATCTGCATGCTCGTCGTCCTCATCGGGGTCTCGACCTGACTGCAGTTCGGCGTCGTAACCGACTTGAGTGGGCAAATGCTCACATTCGATGGCGTCTGGCACGTTGGAGAGGTGCTCTCTTGACGGATGAATCCTGGTTTTTGCTGTTCAGGGCAGATGGCAGACAGCGTGTGTGGCGTTGTGTGGGTGAGCGGTTTGCTGATGTCAACGTTGTGGATCGAGTGGATCGAGTGGCCCATGGTGGTGGTGGGGTTATGGTATAGGCAGGCGTATGTTATGGACAACGAACACAGGTGCATTTTATTGGTGGCATTTTGAATGCACAGAGATACCGTGACGAGATCCTGAGGCCCATTGTTGTGCCATTCATCCACGACCATCACCTCATGTTGCAGCATGATAATGCACGGCCCCATGTTGCAAGGATCTGTACACAATTCCTGGAAGCTGAAAATATCCCAGTTCTTGCATGGCCAGCATACTCACCGGACATGTCACCCATTGAGCATGTTTGGGATGCTCTGGATCGGCGTATACGACAGCGTGTTCCGGTTCCTGCCAATATCCAGCAACTTCACACACATGTGTTGCACTGCGTGAGGCAAATGGTGGTCACACCAGATACTGACTTGTTTTCTGACCCCCCCCAGACCCCCCCAGTAAAGCAAAACTGCACATTTCAGAGTGGCCTTTTATTGTGGCCAGCCTAAGGCACACCTGTGCTATATTCATGCTGTCTAATCAGCATCTTGATATGCCACACCTGTGAGGTGGAATGGATTATCTTGGCAAAGGAGAAGTGCTCACTAACACAGATTTAGACAGGTTTGTAAACAATATTTGTGAGAAATGGTCTTTTGTGTATATAGAAAATGTTTTAGATCTTTGAGTTCAACTCATGAAAAATGGGAGCAAAAACAAAAGTGTTGCGTTTATATTTTTTTTCAGTGTATTTACTATTAGGCTCAAATTGATATATTTTCCCATCTTTGCTGAGCAATTTTGTGTGAAAGGAATTAAAAGCCTGTCCCAAATAAATGCCTGTTGAGTTCAGTGATTTAAGCAATGAACAGCATGGGCTATTAATTGAAGTTTTACAGTATGCAGCTCTTCCCTAACTGTTTACTTTATTGATCTAAAAAGGTGATGATATGTCAACGTTGCCTTCGCAGCTTGTTTCCCACTGCCCCAGTGCCACAAATAAATAAATCAGTTATTGCAGGTTTGATGAAAAGTCGAATTGGAACAGCAGAAAGTCTACATCTAGATGTTTGCTGACGGACAAATGTATTAACAGTAAAATGTACTCAAATACCCAACATAGAAGAACATGTACTTACTTGAGACACACTGAGGTGGAAAAAAGTTTCTATTTGTATCTGTCTGTATCTGAGAATACTTACTGTATAAACGATCATGCTTTGGTTGTAGCCAAAAGTGTTGACAGTTTTGTTTCGGACAGTCATGTTGATGAACAGCCACTCGTACTGGTTCTGCATCACTTCACAAGACCAGTCTGCGATCTTTGAAGCATTTAGGATGGCTTTAAATTTTATTTCGTCATCTGAGGGGAAAAATAAAAGACTGGTCTCTTGTCAAGTCAACATAGACAGACTGAATGTAGTGATGTCTGTTAGTGTGCATTCATGTGACAATTAACTGTAAAAATGATTACAGCACACATATAAACACACCTCAGATTAGTGTCAGGACACTTTTAGACAGGTTACAAGCTTACCACAGTGTAAAGCAGACTTGAAGGAGAGGTTGCAGCTCTGAATGTCAAAGGGGAATTTGTAAACATGCATCCTGCAGGTGCTGACCAGCACCTGATCATTCCTATATTCGACCCAACCCTGATATGTAACACTGAGATAAGGACTTGGAGGGGCCTTGTCCTTCTCTGTCCTGTATGAAAACAAACAAACACAGTATGGCAAAGTGGTGGTGCTAATTGAAAAGCCAAGGGATCTTGTTATCTGGTAACAAGACTCCTCTGATCTGCACCACTGGAATACAACACAACAAAGACTGCACCGGAACCACAGCTCTTCTAAGCCAGGCTCATCCACAGCAGAAAACTGGCACCTAACAAGCAGCACAAATAAGCCACCTTTTATTTATGGACTGGTAACATAACAACTGGGCACAGCATTTGTTCAATAGTACAGGCTAAGCAAGAATTTTAACTTTTGTCAATGTATGTGTAGGGTGCATTGATTTGATGTTTTTCAATCTGTTATTGTTGTGATCTTTTTGTAGTCAGCTTATTGGGTAGTTGGCCTTGCCAAAATTAAGCTAATGTTAGTTAGCTAATGCTTCACAGAGACAGTCTTCCATGCAACTAAACTCCATTTTTACTAACCTGGCACCTTTATACATCATAGATCATATACACATATAGTCTAATTTGGCTTTTAACATGATTACACATGCGGAGAAGGAAGTTAAAGCTTCTACTCTCACATGCTCTATTGTCATGTGACTGTCCACATGCCTCTCTAGTTGTGACTTCACCCTTTTCTTTATAGTTTTACCTGGTCCCCCCATTTTGTCCTACAGGCCTTAGACATTGTGAGTTCAGGCAGCCATTCTGTCTTTGCACACACACACACACACACACATTTACACTTCCACATCTGTATATAGTTACTAGTTAGGATACATTTGTTAACCCTAAGTTAAGTGAATTGATAATACCCAGTCACATAATGCCCCCATAATGAAACAGCTGTACTGTGTTTTTAAAGCAGTCAATACAATTCTGTCCATTTCATTACTTTATATTCATATATATATATATATGAATATACAAATATAAGTTGGATGGTAATCTGATGGAGAAATAAAGAAAAAAATCAGTTATAATTATCATCCACTTACAGTAATTAATTTAACCCAGACAGATACGATCATTATAAGCCATTTCCAATATATGTCGTATTTGTATAAACATAATGGTTCAATATGTGCTCAGCTTTGTGGTCCTCATTCATGGCGTTATGTCTATTTCTATGCAAGAACATTGAGAGTAAAGTTTCTTGTACATGTACAGTTAAAGTGATTCTGTTTCTGAATGTAACATTTCTCCTAAATTTTGCCTGACGTACCTATTAAAAACATTCAAAGGGTATCTTTGATAACATGTCCACTACAATCTGCGTGTTTGAACAGTTTTTTAATACAAGAGTTTGACGTGATGGAGCCACTAGTGGGTGTGATTAAATCTTGAATGGTTCTGATAGAGTTGTGTTTCAGACTTTTAGAAGTCAGTGCACAGTGAAATACAATACATTTATGTGATAGATTTTATTAGATAAAAACACGTGTGTTTAGCCCTGCTGTATAAATGTTTTGGCATCCAAATGCTCTGAGTTTTGCATCATTATACTGCAGTATATGATCCTCTATCAACAGTTATTGTTGTGAGTGTATGTGGATTTGTGAGTGTGAGAGCAAGCACAAGCATTCAAAACTTACATCTCTTCAACAATTAGATCTGGCTTCCACATAACTTCAGTAGGAAATAATACATGATTAAGGCCACAGAACATATCTGGATGCCACCTAATGTGGTAATTGTTCCATCTCTAAACAGGAAAACATTCAAGGGAGGGGATCAGAAAGGTAGAAAAGAGAGAGAGAAAGAAAGAATGAAAAGATGCAATTTAAAGGAAACAATTTGAGAATGATGAACAGGTGAGAATGATCAAAAGTGACTATCTCAGAGAGAACTCACCATATAAATCCAGACGTAAAGAACCAAAGCCTGGTCGATCTCCCTCTGTGAGCAAAGAAATACAATGTGTGTAAAAATCTTTCAGTTTTAATGTAAAATACATGTTCGCAGACATTACACTTCATATATCATATATCACAAACAACACTTTAGTTAGTAATAGGGCTGTCAGCATTAACGCATTGATAGCAATGCGATCAGGTCAGAACATAACAAATTATTTTTTTTAAATCACTTTAGGACAGACGGATGGATGGACGGATGGACAACCCGAAAACATAAAAAACATAAAGACAAGGAAACTCACCACATCCAGGATGCCATAGATCACCATTTTGAGGTCAACCCATGTAGTAACTTTGTAGTGTTTAACTGGTCGGACCATGGTGTACAGGTCATTGTTCTTTGTCAGGTTCAAGTATTTAAAAAGATCCTGATAACTGCAGTTACCCTCAAAGTATAGCCCATCTACAGCAGAAACATCAAGACACATTGAGTTTATTTATTAAAGGTAGTAAATAAACAAATGTTCATTTTTACAAACATTCTGAGAATCCTCTCAGAAAGCTCCTAACTTAGGCTAAAAACTTTTAGTGAGGAGTCTTAGTTTAGAAGTGATTTAGGAAAGTTCTTAGAGCAACTCTGAGCCAGGAAAGGACAGAAACTTTTACCTCAGTGAGGAGGTGTGGTTGACCCTGTTGCTAGGTATGATGCATTCTTTTAAGATATATGATTGGTTGTCACAGACATGCCCCTATGCTGACCTGCAAGGTGTGGACACCCAGTGGAGATGAGATGAACTGCTGACTGTGAAAGTGTTGTCATTGTTAGTGTGAACACTCTGCTGATGGAAGGTTGAGACAGATTCAAGTCATCACTGCTGCGCTGTTCCAGTTTTCCAAATATCTTAGTGTTGTGATCATTTTATTTTTGCCGTTATGGTGTCAGGTGGGAAATGTGTGTGTATCCCTAATGACATCGACTATATATATTATGCCTGCACAATCTAATCTGTGGTATTTAATTTCCTCACTGTTATCCAGCGTTTGGAGAATATTTCTCTGACCTCTTTGTGTTTCCACCATTTTCTCCTCTGATTAAGAAACTCTTAAGACTCTTAAAAGTCCTCCTCCCTGCTCTAACAGATTTTCACCTTAGGTCTAAGATCCTTTGTGAATAACTTATCTTTAGAAGGACCTTGTCTTAACTTTAAAGGGATTTTTTTTTTTAGAAAACCTTACAATTCTAAGAATTCCCTTAGAATTTCATCACTAGGAGTGACTCTTAGCACCAGATCTCATTTTTTGTGAACATCAGATTTACTGTATGTGCTCTAACTGACAGAAATGACAAACAGTAGTCACTGTGGGGAGGGATCCACTGCCTCTGAACTTTTTATCAAACACTGACCAACACCAGCTCACAAATATCTGCAGTAGTAATAATATCCAGTGCTTGTGGTCACTGAAAAGCCATTATGAGATGGGCGTTGGCAGGACTGCTGGGTTTTATTTCATCAGTCCACTAATGATTTCATTTTATTTATTTATTTATTAATGTAAGCATTTTTACATTTAGTTAAGTTTAAAAAGGGCACTCCATTTGAGATTGATCTGCTACACATTGTCTTAATGGATGCTGATTGAATTAAAGCCAGGAGCACAATTTTATGGGCAAGTAAAACCAGCATTGCAATGGGACAATAATCTAGGCTTGGAATCACAATATCAGTCTAGGCCAGTCCTCATGCATTCAAAACAGACCATGCCATCTTCTGTGAAGTGCTTTTTCATTTACATTTTACACTAGTCACACATCTCTACTTTTATTACTACACACAAAAACAACCAACTTCAAAAAGATCCAAAATAGTTATGACCAGGTGAGTGTCTAAAGTGCCAATGCTATAGGAATAAATATTCATTTATGTAATTACTCTGCACTTTTGGAGTGTTTATTTCCTGTACTTACCTTCCTCAGAGCTCTGATCGGACTGTTGATCATGAAGAGGCTCCAGTTGCTCTGAGTAATTTGAGGCACTTCCACCTGACAGAAGAGCATAAAGGTTTAACTGTTGGCAAAATCTCTTTCAAAACACAATTTTGATATTTTATCAGTGTCTACTGACATCCTAAAACATGTAACTTTGAAAATAAAAAAGTAGGGTCATTAATCAGATTTACTAAATACTTTCTCACTTAGCTCTGCTTGGTTAAATTGGTTTTAAGATATCCCTTTCTGAGATTTTTGCCTGAACCCTGAAATAATTAATGTGAATGGGATTTTATTTCTGGAGATCAAAATGACAGTTAAAAAAAAATCAACAGCAAGGCCTCCTCAGGAAACGTGCTCCTGTTACTGCAAACTGTGAACAGATTTCTTCTTTTTTTGTGGAAACAGTATTATTTCAGTTTGTATAACAAAGCTCCATTCACCTCCATCATATGAAAGAAATGTCACAGCTGCATGCATCATACCGAATTGTTCCAGCTTACCTGTGAAGAGGAGCAGAAGGAGGAAACCTGCAAGCATCATGACTGTGGGAGGTCTGCACAGTTAATGAGCGTGCCTGTCTTCTCTGTGTTGACTGGAAATGTGTGTGACAGTAATAATATCACCGCCTTGTACTGGAGAGGGGGGGGGCGGGCAAATTTAATGTCCATCAATCTCATTAGTCTAATGACTGATGATGCCATCAAACCAAAAGCTTTTTACTTCTTGCTTCCACTGTTGTGGCTGTTTAATTTTTTTTAGAAGTCTTATCTGAAGCATACACTAACGTACACAATTTAGATTTATTTACAATACAGGGGGTAGGTCCCAAGTCCCTTAAAATTACTGCTAACCACCTTACCTAGCCACCTTACCTAACTGTTTAGTCCCTCCCACTTAGGAAAACATTTAAGGAGTCAGGAGTTAGGAGTTAGGAGCGAGGATTGCTGATAAGAGACATGAGACGGCCTTACTCTGAAGCGTCACGTAAAGCGACGTCCTTTTCTGATGACGGCGGCATCTATGGGCGGCACAGCTGGATCTGCTGCATAACGGAGCCAGCGTTTGGCGTACATCCCAAGTCACATTATATCCGCTGATCAAAGCCGTAACAAAGTGAATTTTAGAGATCATGCAATTGCACTGACTGAAACACAGTGTCTTTTTACCATAGCATCTGGGTAGAAAATTTATTTAAATATAGCATACACTTGCACTGATATTTGTTTAAGCTGGCTAAAATACATTTTGCTGCTGCCCCATCCACAGCGGTGCATTGCTCAGCTTCCATGCCAGCAGATTTGGTTCATCAGAGATGATAACAACGCAACACAGTACATAAAATAAGCACAGCAGAAACATCAGATCGGCTTACAGTGTTTGACTTTATATCTTTAAACCTTACAGTTACGACTGAAAATGACAACAGATATCAACAACTGTAACTGATCACTGATATAATTGACTGCTAACTTCCACTGGTATGGCTGGTGGTTAGTTACAAAGACATTTGCCGATTTTACACATCACTACACTTGTAATAAATAGCCAGTTGTCTACCAGGAAGTCACTCATGTTGTTAATACGACGTCCTGATGATTCGGTCTGTACACAGTGATTCCACTTACTGCCGAGCACACCTGTAATTGGCACAGTAAAATTCAACTGTGTGTCCACACAAAATAGGTGGTCCTTACAAGCAATTAAAAAAACAGCGGTCCCCATAACTGACAAAAACAAGTTCAAGTGTGTGTGTGTGTGTGTGTGTGTGTGTGTGTGTATGTGCATTTCATGAGGGAAAAAATAAATGATTTAGTTGTTTATTTGTACGATATGAAGAGTCTGATACATGTTTTCATAGCCATTACTGTGCATACAACAGATCACAAAATTAATTCAATACATCATGGCGTAACATCGGCTTAGGCCCTGATCATACAGCGAGCGTTTTAGCAGCTGGAGGCGCTTCTCACCCTCAACCAGAGCTACAGCAAGTACCCTCTGCCTCAACATTTTAGGGACCAGATACTAATTACTACGAAATAAATAAATACATAATCAGTACATTGATTACACGGGAGTGTTAGGAGGTGAAGGGGTGGTTGCCTGGCAACAATAAGAAGCCGCAGTGGGCAGGGTTTTTTTTACTAGTAGCATCTGATTTTTTTTTTTTTTTTTAAAAAGGCAGTGCTGGGTACCTCGCGTCCTGTGTGATCAGGGCCTTTAGTAAATAGCATTCACTTCACTGCACCACATTTCCTCAGAAGGAAACATGTGACATCAATATTTAAAGGTTCTTTAAGTTTAAGTTTTCTGCAAGAATCTAGACAACCTGTGAAAGCATGTACAATACGTAAAGATTGTGCATATTACTTGCTAAAGACATGTAAATATTAGATGTCGGGTTAGTGTACTTTGATTTTACAAAACAACCAGGCCAGTTCATTCTGTGTATATGCGACACATGTTGATGTAGCATTGTGTACAACATGCAGAGTATGGGAGTGCACATCTTCCAGCAGAGCAAAAAATGAAAAATAAAACCACTGTTCAGTGTTCAGCGCTTAAACAGAGCTGAGCACCAATAGGATCAGTGGATAGGATAGATCCAGGTGGGAGCAGGTGTGATGGTTACTGACAGTGATGAGGGGTGGAGGCTCTGTAATCAGAACAGTGAATTACAGAATGACTTGTTGTTAGTCAGCAAATAAATTTAGTTTTGATTTTCCCCTGTGGGTCCATGTGCGGATGATACAGCTAAATGCAAAGAAAGCAAAAAAGTGTTTCCTCTCTCTCTTTCTGAGGCAAAAAAGAGACAAAGGAAACAATTACCATGTTATCATGATGTAGCAACGATCACCTCTACGCAGTGTTCCATTTGATAAAGATAACAATTAAAAACAGACACACCACTGTTAAATAGAAAATTAAGAAAACTCTGTTGACTTTTTTAGCCACTCCGGTCCAGTAGCCGGGCTTCTCCTCTTCCTTCCTGTTGCTGAGGAGCTGGGAAAGGGTTTTCTCCATCTCTTTCAGCTCATCTGAGAGCTTCTCCAAGGCATGGTACTCCTCTATCAGTTTGCTGCTGTTGTGTTGTTGTTCTGTTGTGCCCTGCAAAAAAGGGTTTATACAAGTATCGACTGTAACATTATCAGCAGACATTCAGTATTTTGTGTCCAGTGTGATTAAAGTGAAACAGCATTCTAACCTCTTTGGCCACAGGCAGCAGTTCAGACGGAGTTTCACCAGTAGACACATCAAAGATACACGCGCAGTGAGTCCATTTGTGCATCCCTGAAAAGACAGTTTTTCCCAAAATTAAAATAATACAGTTAAAAAGCATATATAAAAACATATAACAGCAAAAGAAATAGAAGAATATGCCTCTAGATGGGGTTGCATCAGCTTTTTTGCCAATCCATTTCTAGGTCTCTTTGTTTACATAATTGTTAAACAATTTTTCAGTTAACTGTCAGGTCACATTGTCGACCACGTTCCATCATAGGTACCTCTTATACGCTTTTAATTACAGTAAACAAGTCATATTTTAACAGGTTAGTTTTATCATCTGGTCAAGTCAGCAGGCACATGCACAGGTAGACCCCAGGTGGTGCTTAGGCACTTGCCCTTTTGTCGTCTGACTAGATAAGACCCCTTTTTTGCAAGACATTTCTTTTCTATTTCTTTTTCTAATTTATTATTTTAGTTTTTAAATTTGGCCATGTCATCAATTCTCTACTAACAGTGTGTTATAATGCCCGACATCCGCATTCTGCCAGACCACAAGAGCCCCTGCTCGTCCCTCACCAAAACCCTTTGCGAGAGTCACCACAGTTAACACACTTTAATCAAGCGCCCTGCAGAGCAGCATCCACGTCTCCCTGAGGCCTGTCTTCATGGACAGCCAGGTAACAAAAGAGTTTGCCCTAAGCCTTAGTTGTGTTTGGAGCTGTTGCGATATTAAACTACTAAAAACATCACAATACTGCTAGATGAATTTAGGCAATAACTCACCATCAAGCCTCACAACAAGCAAGCTAGTCTGGTGTAAAATCACACCATCTCTCTCAAACTATCTGGCTGATTCCGGTTCACCAACTGCCCAGCGCGAGTGGAGACTGATGCCGAATTGCTTTCCCAGTTCCAAATGTCTTTTAAAACCAAAACTCAACTCAAAATGATGTTTAGATCTCCCACACCATGGCTCTGATAATTTAATTAAATAAATCTGAAATGCAGTTTGGTGCTGCACATGCCTTGTGCTGCAGGCGACTGCTCTCTGGGATCCTTTATGAATATTTAAGGCCCTGGTCATAGAGGACGCTAGGTGTGCCGAAATGCCTTTTTTTTTTTTTTAAACCAAATACCACTCGTAGTAAAAACAAACCGAAACCCTGCAGCACCTTTTTATTGTTGCCAGGAAATCACCTCATCACCTCCTAACATTCCTGTGTAATCGATATACTGATTATTTATCTATTTCGTAGTAATTAGTATCTGGTCCCTAAAATGTTGAGGCAGAGGGCACTTGCTGTAGCTCTGGTTGAGGGTGAGAGGCTGTCAGTAAATAGTTTGTTGGGCACAGGGAAACAGAGATCTGTGTGGGTACATGAGACCCTAAAAAGGAGGGTGGATCATGGGGAGTACCACCACACTGACAACCTGCTGTCTATCTTCGGGCCGTATTGCTCTGGGTATTCAGCAACAGCTACCACCAGTTTCTCCACCATTGTTTACCAACTGTAAACGAGTTGTCAAGACCACCAAAGAAGGCCTGCCTCTCGAATCATCCAATTGGACAATGGGGAAATGGCGGAGATGACATGAGGCATTTTTCCGCTCTGAGTTGAAGGTTTTTCCACTCAAGGAGTTCAGAGCATTCCGGCAAAAACGCCAGACCAGAGCGCATCGCGAAAAACATGAGCAAAAAGCTTCATTCTCATTTAAAACAATTACAAAAAGGCGCCTCCAGTTGCTAAAATGCATCCTGTGTGATCAGGGCCTTAGAGGATAATTTCAAGTATTAGTACATGACTATTAAATGACATCATTGCAATTTTCTCCTACACACACATTTTATTGCTCACAAATTCTTGGATGGTGGATTGAATTTTAAAAAATCTAATTTAATTTCTGGACCAACAGGAAACAAAACATTTAAATTAGTTAAATTGGTGGTTAAATTAAAGGGTTCTGATGGTAAACTCACAACTAGAGAAAATATTAAATAAGCTCTGCAATTAAGCTCTTCAGAAAAGAACCATGTTTGTATGAACCAAACTACCTGTTTTCTATCTCTGCAACTTCATATTGAAGAACTTCAGGGTAGAAATCATCCTCAGTGTGTCGGTGTGTCAGAGCAGCGTCTACTCTGTACATCCAGAACCATTTTAACCTTTTAACCAGTTCCTCATTTATACACAGTGTAAGACTTGTGTTGACTCAGCAGACAACATAAATTAAGACAAGCTGATCTACAGGAGAATACATATTTGAAAGTAGCACATAATGCCTGAGAGTCTACAGCATTATAATCTATTCTTTTGTCACTTGCCTCCAGAAATCTGTTTTCCTTTAAGTGAGTACATTTCCACCATAAACTGATGCAGAAACATTCACCAGAATGCAAGAAATGAAGTTTGAGGCTCAAAATTTCCTGTTGGAGGTCATTTTAAGTAGACGTTATCAGGCTGATGTACATTCGAGTGTTCATTTTCCTGATAAGTTTGATTTTAATTAGTTATTTGATGCTGTAAAAAGGGGGGTTTGACACCATGATTGAAAGCCATGTGTGCCAATCAGTGTGTTGGCCCTGCTCGCTATGGGTCCCATGGTGGGAACTTAATACTGTGAAGATCGTTACTCTGCAGAATCTGGCTCCACATGACATCACCAGCACATGGTGGCAGTTGCTGTATCCAGGATATTCAGGATCTGTTTTTTAACGGGGGAGGAAGTTGAAGAAGGTTGTCCATCTTTATATACAGTCATTGATAAGGACAAGTAACTACTAAGGACACTTGTTATTCCTAACAAGTCCAGTTTTGAAAATAAAAACAACTGATGCAACTGGCTACAGGTCTTACCCCCATGACAGCTGTGGATGTTGGCTTTGCCCTGTTTGTTACAGTCCTCACTCAGGCTTCGGTCTTTATCTGCGTCTTCTTCTTGGGATGCAGAGTCTTTTTCCATCAGATGCATTACGAAAATTGTCTCCAGGAGGCTCAGCAGCATCAGAGCAAAAATCCCAATGCAGTAGACCGCTAGGAGGGGCAGGCAGCATCATTAATGTAGACAACTACTCATTGAGTTAGTGTATGTGGTCCAATAAAGGACTGACTTTGATTGCCTTTACCTATGAGAGGAATCTTGTTTGATGAGGCAGGCAGAATTTCATTCAGGATAAGTTGTAACACAGTGACAGCGAGCAGCACAGTGACCTTGAAGCTGAGCTTCTCGCCCCCGTTGTCTGAGATCAGGAAGGAGGCCAAGTCCAGACACAAGAAGAACAAGACGGGTACCAAGAAGTTGACAATGTAGAGGAGAGACCGCCTCTTCATGGTGATCTGTGAGATGATGTCAAAGCGTCAGATGGTTGATTTTCCTCCTCCTGCAGCTTGAAATAATCTGTAGTACACAGCTTGCAACAACAAAGTGATCTGCTCCGATGTGCTTAAGTCTGCAGTGTCAAAAGAATCAACAAAGTCATTGAAGGGATACTTTGCCAATTTTTAACCAGCTTTGCATCAACAGTGTGGGTATTATGCATAAATAAACTATAGTAAACTTCCCTTAATCTTACCAGTGCCCAGATCTCCCTGCTCATCTCCCAGCTCAAATCCACCACATCATCCGGCGGGTTTTTGCTGGCTGTAGGGTTGATGCTCAAGGTAGAGACTGTTTTTTTGTATTTTCCAGCCTGCTCCCACTGTGCGACCCATACTTGCATTAATTGTAATTTGGTGCCCTCTAGTGGCAGTGATAATTATTAGAGGAGCAGAAAGAGAAAGTGACGCAACATAGCATAAAGAGCTACTAATGTTGTGTTCACACAGGGCGTGAATAAAACCGTTAACGCGAGTAAATTACATGTCAATATAAAGACAGATTAGATGCGAATTCCCGCCGGGCAGGGCGATGAACATGATGCGAATGACATAAAATCCGAGAATTCAGTAGCACGAATGAAGCGAGTCTAGGTCATACACTTATTCGCGAGAGTTGAAAAATCTTAACTTCAGTGACCGATTCATGCTGCAATAGCCAATCAGCATTGATATCCCTGGGAATGTACGATGCTGAGGATGTGTAGCATGTTAAGTGATGTCGGTGACATGTTGTATGTGATATATGTCATTCAGCATATGTCACATTATGTTAGTAAAAAAGAAGTACTTATTTAATGCCAAACCACAATGTTTGTCTTAACCTAACAACCAATTTCTAAAGTATGTGCATGTCTCTGCTGCATAGACAGCCTGGTTTTACTAAAAGACCATCTTTCGAGTAGTGAAGTACTTCCCCTAGTAAAAGTACAGTAAAGGAGCAGAAGCTCTACACTCAGATGTTCACTGAAAAATATACTTGAGGAAAATAAACTTTCATGGCTTTTTATATTAAGTTAAAGAAGGAAAAGTAGAAAAGAAATAAGAGGGAAAAGAGAAAGAGGGTAAAAAACAGAAGAGAAATGAGGCAAAGTTTAAAGGACAAATAAGAAGGAAAAAGGAAAAATAGGGAAAGACAAAGGACACAAGGATGGAAATAAGGAATAAAAGACAGAGGGAAATGTTAAACTACAACTGCTGAAATCGTTAAAGTATCGAAAGACATATGGCTCTATACATCTATTTTGACATTGATATTAATTTGTCAAAGTTGTTCTTCTTAACAGGTAAAAATTTTCTGCCATTTTAACGTGCATTTGTTATAGTTTTAATTGTTAAGACGAACAAATTTAACATGTTCATATGAATATCAAAAAATATCGATAATAAAGTGCTTGATGACAAGGTTACTTTTTACACCGTGTGCATCTGTATGTAGTTATACGCACAGTGTAAATGACAATGTCTTGGCCGAACGTATTGCTGGCATTGTTGGTAGTAACTGTCATGTTGAGAAACAGCCATTCGTACTGAGTCCGCATCACCTCACGAGAACACTCTGTGGCCTCTGAAGAGTTGTCCGTCGACTGGAGCCGAATGTCCTTTGCTGAGGAAAGAGATAAAAGAACTTCTAAGGTTGTTTGAGGTGAGATAACAATGAAGAAATGGATGATAAGTGGAGTTTGGTGGTGTGTGGTGGAGACAGTGAGGTGGTGTAAGTTTGATTCACAGCCAAGCTGGTAGGGGTAAGTCCAGGACAAACCACTTGATGTTAGCATAAGGAGAACACCATTTAGCATCCAAACCAATTGATTTTGAAAGCGGGCAAAGGTGTACCACAAGACATGTTGTCATACTTGTAGAAAAGTAGAAAGCATTAGAAAGAAAGTCATTTTGGTTTACAGTTCAAAATCTGAGGTTCTTTTTGTAAAGGGTGACAGGTTGGCTTCTACTGAGTGTAGAACAGAATGTGCAGTTGTGTGTATTTGATTGGCCAATGCAGTCAATTGCTGGAAGGCGCTGCATTACGGTGAAAGACCTCTGTTTTTTGCTGAAGCCCCACTGTGTCCACGCAGTAACGTACATTTAGCAAAGCCATCTCCACTGCAAAATCTCTGAACACAGTAAATGACACGTACAGTGTAAAAATATGGCAACCACAAAACAATAGTCCCATATTCACTAATGACACAAGGCTAACCCTCTCACTGTCACTGATATCATAAAGTGAATGAAAGAACGTAAACATATATTTCAGACCACAATGACCGTGCATGATACATTAGTCTAGCACTGTGGTGATTATCAATGGAGAAAATCCAATGCAAACCAAAATTTATAACTTGCGCTGTAGGGATTTACAGTAGGATTCCCACTAACTCAATGCACTGACCATAAATCCGGCTTCAATCAGCGTCACTGTCAGTCAATGATAGGACGGTGATATTAGTGCTTCCTGCAAAATTAAATTGATTTTTTTCTGTCTCCATATACACAGTATTGAAACTGCTTAATGCACAGACAGGGGGCGCCATCGCAAAGTCGTTTTATCACTCTCTTCGACTCCATTGAGAAATACAAAAATTTACCATCGCTGGAAACAGTAGTTGCTGATCTCCCGCTGCCTCGTTTAGTTGGTTTGTGTTATTATTAACAGGTTCAGTTGGGATTTAACAAAGTCATACAATGACACAAATTAACTATTTGATCAAGGCAGCGGTAAGGCAGCGGTAGACCAGCAGATCCTGTGTTCAACAAGCTTAAATCACTTTTTATCTCAATGAAGTCTGGTAACTTTGACAAGAGCACACATGGGGAACTGAAGCCACTCATGGCTTCCCCATCAGTACGTTTCAGTTCAGTGCACATTTTTTCTGTTTCCATTGTGAAAAGGTTTGGATGATACCAATAGAACGGTTCCTTACATCCCTATTTTTGGTCACCCCTCTGTTGGGGTACCATGCATACTGATTTGGTACTAACAGGGGGAGCTAGAAATACTAGAAACAGTCCTTTGATTACATATACATATCGGTTTCTGCCAACGAACATGACCAATGAACATGATCCTCTGAACAATCTCATCCAGTGCATCTCAGATATCAGTTCCTGGATGAGCAAAAATTTCTTACAGCTTAATCAGGACAAGACAGAGATTCTTGTTGTTGGTCCTAAGGCCCTGAGGCATGAAATTCAATCCCTGCTTACTCCCTTATCTGTTCAACCATGTGATCATGTCAAAAACTTAGGTGTGGTTCTTGATGCCAACCTCAACTTCCACAAGCACATCTCTAATATATCTAAGACAGCATTTTATCACCTGAGAAATATTGCTAAAGTTAGATGTTTTTATCCCAATCTGATTCTGAGAAGCTGGTGCATGCTTTTATTTCTAGTAGACTAGACTACTGCAATGCCCTCTTTGCTGGACTGCCAAAACAAACATTAAGCAAACTCCAGCTTATTCAGAATGCAGCTGCTAGGGTACTAACAAAAATCAAACGGTCTGACCATATTACCCCGATTTTATCATCACTACACTGGCTCCCAGTAAAACAAAGAATTGATTTTAAAGTTCTTCTTATTGTTTATAAATGTTTTAATTGGTTAGCTCCCTCCTACATTTCTGACATGCTCACTGAGTACGTACCAGAGAGATCCCTTCGATCATCAAACAAAGGTCTCCTCACAATACCCAGAATCAACTCCAATTCAGGTTTTGGTGCCTTCAGTCATTATGGTCCCACTCTCTGGAATTCACTGCCAATTGAACTACGGTTTGCTACTTCAGTGTCTTCTTTTAAAAGCAAACTTAAATCATATCTATTCTCACAAGCCTGTAGTTAGGTTTACTGAATTAGTATTATTATTGTTATTATCTCCTGTTTTTAACCGTGATAAGAAAGATATCCTCTTATCTTGTTTAACCAACACCTTTGATTACATCTTGTGTGTTTTTATAAATGTTAGTCACTCTTATCATAATGTTTATGTTCTGTCATGTACAATGTACCTTTGTTTCTGTTTTTAAGCACA